CTATTATAAGTGTCCCTTTGTTAGAGAGTGAACATGTCAGGAAGAATATGATCACTAAAAATGAGAGCAGATAAGCCGAGTCGACTATAATGATGTTAGCCAATGTGTGCTGAACTGTGGAGATCCTTATGTACCGTAACCTTGGTGCCTGGTTCATTCCATTATTGCTATCCTTGTGTTTCAGCAGCTGAAACACAAGTTACAATACCCAATACCTTTTGGAAGATACATCTAGCCTTTGTTTTGTGTGCAATATGACCCATGTGCAGGGAATTGTCTCCCAGTGTACAGCCCAATCCAGAGGAAATAAGTTTCAGATTTTCTCTACCAAAAAAGAAAAGAAGCTCTTTAAACCTTACCCGGTCTAATTTCAAATGGTCAAGCAACTTCCGAAAACTTTCACAGAAGTCTTCCAGAGACCATAACACAGGATATTCCATCTACAAAATAGCAATTTAATGATATAGGTATTATTTATTATTATCATTATTTTTGTGGGAAGGTCATACTTCATCTACATATTGTAATCACCTGTACTGTCATTTGCACGAAAAAATATAATCAGAATAATCTGTTAATTGATTGGATTATCTTTGAATAAATAAGTACTGTACCTTTAAGTTTAATTTGAGACAAGAACAAATTTTTCTATAATAGTGATTATTGATAATTGTAAATTTCTGATGACACTTAAGTTCAATAATGCAGATATGGCGAGACTTATATTCCTTGCTTCGCATACTTACTTTTTTTAAGATCGTCGGAGGAGGGCGGAATAGAAATAAACATAAAATTTTGTTTTCTTATTTAGCAAATAGTTTTGCCACAAACACCCAGACAGAGGAGGAAATAAAAATAACATTTTATTGGTGAATCATCAATATTTGCGTTTGGCGGGTTTCGCTAAACAAGGTAATAAAGAAGTCTCGTCTATAGTTTATATAATTATAGAAAAAATATGACATACCGATATGACACGGTACCCTCTTGCCGTTAATCCAAGAATTTGTTTGAAGAATATGTCTGCAGTTCCACTTGCTGGAGGGAAACAAACAAGTGGACATCGAACACAACGTGGGCCGGCATCATACAGGGTCCACTCTTTATTGGATCCATCATCAACTTGCACCTATGATATGTTTATTAGGTTTTTGTAAATACTACAGTAGTATCACAAATGTCAATTATATTGATAATGTTTATGAGAAAATTGGTGATCCTCAATAATTATTACAGCAACATATTAAACTAGTTTACTTACAGCTGTGTAACCTAGTTAATTATAGCTAAGGTATGTAATTAGGTAATACTCCTACCCCAGGATGCATATCAGTTAGGGCTGGGGTATGTAGGTCACTAAGATCATAGTGGAGTATCGTCCCTGACCCCATGATGCATACTGTAGTTTGGTCAGGTTCTTTTAATTTTCTTTTTCTTTAAAAAAAAATTGTTGAGAGGAATTTCATTTGTATCAGAGAGTTTTAATTGGACAAACAAAATATATCATCGTCTTGTAATAACAGCTACAAAGTATATACGTAAGTAGGCTAATTACAGCTAAAAGACATGTGTAACTAAGTTGATAATTGATCTACAGTACCTTGTGCTGAGATACAGAAGCTCGAAAACTCTGGTATTCTTGTGACTTGGCAATTTCTGATGTCGGCATGGTTTCAGCTTTATTTATAGACTTTTTATCTCAAAATCTGTGTTGATGTCAACAAATATGGTTACGAGGAGTTGTAAATATCTACAAAAAGTAACAAACAGTATACAGATCACTCACCAATTCAAGACAACATCTGTGACCTGAAAATGTGGGGTGTTTTCGGGGTTCAGTCTCCAATTAGAGGGCGAGCTTTGTGTTAAAAGATTTGAATTGAAAGTTGGTACTTTGAAAAAGTGGTATTGAATTAGAGAGTCTTGAATTGGAGGGCAAATGGTACTTGTATTTACATTGAACAGGATGGAACTATTCAGATAAGTCTTGTTGAGGCTTCAACAAGATTCATCAACAACAAGACAAGTTTTCATGCTTTCTTCATGAGTAAAAATCCTGGACTATCACAGCATTTAAACCAGACATTAGCAACTGGAATGCAAACATACAGTATTTTATACCAAATACATAGATTCTAGGCATATGATTGGTTAAGAAGCGAGGTAATAGAAAGTATTATTCCCCTCAAAAAGTACTATTCCCCTCAAAAATGAGGAATTAAGCAAAGAAGAGCTAGACACACTCTTTGATTTGCCTAGGCCTTGCTAGTCAAGTAGTAGTAGTAGGCCTAGTATGCGTCTAATAGAACAGGCTAGGAAATAAGTACTTTTTTAGGCCTCGCAGAATCTATGTATGAGGTACATAAAACAAATACTGACTGCTCTATATTTGGGGAACACTTCGGCCCTCGGAAGATAGGCTACGTTATCCACATCAATAGATTTCTCCATTCTCCTCTTTGTGAACCTTAAAATCCAGACATAATCTGATCATGTTCAGCCCTGATATACCACCTGATTGTACTATGTTTTTTAACCCATAAACTGTAATTTTAATTTTAAAAAAAAACTATATTTAATATTAAAGTCAATGTGTTTGAAAGGAATACACAAGCCTAGCCTAGAAACAATACAAACAATACAGAATATGTGACATTAATAAGCCAGATAGGCAGGCCCGTATTTAGATGGAGTTCCGTGAAAATTAGGAAGATTTTTTCATTGCCGTTTTATTCTGTAGGCCTACAAAAGCGGGGTAAAACAAAAATAGTACATACATGTAGTTAGGGATCCCAGGCCAACTATTTAAAATGAATCTTGGAGAATTTGATAGAGTTTGATAGAGTTAATAAAAGTTACTATTATTATTATTAAAAAATTGATAATAGTGGATAGGTTTGCATCAATGCATCCCCGTAGAATGACTCTGAGGAGCCTGCTAGACGATTGACTCTATTATACATCTACTAACTGGTTTACCAGCTGTATTGTCTGGTTGAATGTAGAACATAGACCTAATGTATTATTTTATGTTAACAACCAAATAGTAGGGCCTACTTGCTCATTAAAGCTAATGTATGCTTTAATACATGTTGTTTTTTCTCATTTTTAATCTGCTAATGAATGTACTTACAGTTGAACCTCGTAACAACATACCCCCTTGGGACCATAGAAATTGATTCACTATATATCCATATAGCACATGTATGTCATAACCAGGGTAAAAATCCATTGATTGTAATCATTGGAACTTAAAAGTTCTTAATTTATATCACTGTTTTACACTGGAAAGTTATGGACCTATTATTATAACAAGGTTTGGATGTAAATGTATAGTTAACGTTATTCGCTTTTGGAAGCACATTATTTTAATTAATCGAAATAGATATTTATATACTAGTGTTATGAATTTCAATTAAGAAAAGTTTAAAGAAATGAGGAGTGGTGGACAATGAAAGTTAAAAATTTACTGTTCATATGGTTTAGTTATGTTTGGAATAATCAAAATTTCCATGATAAATATACTTTTATTCATGAATTCAATTAAGAGTAACTGATATAGAAACACAAAAATGTTATGAAATAATGATATCACAATCAAAAGTATTATTGTTTATTTAAACAAAGTATCACACCAGATACAGGTAATCATCTTTTAAATATCCACAATTTAAAATATAATAATGTTAACTAAGCTAAGACTGGGCATTCTAGAACTTGAAATTGAAACTGGTCATTGGAGCAAAACTGTATTTGTAAAATGTGCAACAATGATTTAGTGGAAATGGGTTTCATTTTAACATTAGAAAGAAGTTTATTCCGCAATATTATTTAAATTATCCATCAATCAAAAAGTTGTCTTTTTTAATGTGTACTATTAAGTTAACAATTATTCAACTGGCACAATATACTCATCTTGCTTTAAGAAACGAACACTTTTTTATACCTTGTTTCACGAACTTTTTTTGGAAAATATTTCAAGAGGAGGGCGGAAAAGAAATAAAAATAAAATTATATTTATATTTATTTGAGGAATATATACTTCGGGATTACATCACATAGTACATCTTTTTACTATATTAAAAAGTATGCAACTTTAAATTTTCGGAAAATGGGATTCCATGTAGCGGAGGACAGAATAAAAATAAATATAAATTTATTTAAAGCACTAAAAATGTATATTTATTTATACTGTAAAAAGGACTGAGGCCTATCACACTGAATAAAGTCCCCATTTAGGGGAGAGAAGAAGTATGTATGTGGGTTTTGATAAGGAGTTCCGCATAGTCCCAATCCGAACCCCCACATTGAAATTCCTAAATACGGGCCTGATAGCGCCTACTACATCTCAAAATCAGTAATTTTGGGCATCGCTGGAATATTCAAAACTTGCAGGCCTGTCTGTGTGTGTGCAAATGTGTGCTCACTGTGAAATGCATTAGGCTAGGCCATGGCCTAGGCTAGTCTAGGCTATCAAATCAGAATCTAATCTTGGGTTTTTGTCATAAACTATAATATCTCAATGCTATGATACATAATAAGCCTTTTCTACGAATTGGTAGACATCTTGAAGCGATGACTGCATAACCAACAGAAATACGATAAGCTTTGAGGCTGAATACTTGTCCTCGTGTTATGAATTTTTAGATTGCATGAGGACAAGAATTTAGCCTCAATTATCTTATTTCTGTTGGTTACGCACTACTGACTTGGGTTGTTTGTCATCACTTCAAAGGAAAACCTCACTGGAAAAGGCTTATTGAAAGCTGACAGGATATAATAAAGGGATGGCGGATGGATAGGCTACAATTGGCCCTTATCCTAGCTAGGCCAGGGCCTAGGCAAGGTTGTGTAGTAATGACAATATATTTTGCCTAGGCCTGGCCTAGCCTAGTCCTGCCTTCCTACAATAAAATAGGGCCAGCTAGCATAGCACCTGCTCTAGGCCTAGCCTAAGCCTAGACTAGGGCCAGGCCTAGGCTAGTCCCTAAATAAAAAGGTGATTTGGTGGAGGGAAATTGTGGTATACTATAAAAAAAATTTGATAATCTAAACACCTGCTAAAACATACCATAACATGAGGTTTTCAATTGCATCCTACATGCTAAAATAGTGTTTAGCAGGTCAGCTCTCTATCCGGAATCACGATCTTGTGACTTCAGTTCAGTGCACTCTCTGTCCGGCTACAAAACATTGCTGCGTTGTCCTGAAAAAAACCCAATGCGTTAACGTGGTTAACGCGTCGTTCAATGCGTTTTAAAGGCTGACAGCAAGCTTTTCACATTACAGTACTGTACTGTACTTTATTTCTTTGTTACCATAGATGAAACTTTAGGAATTTTTGAGAACAAACCGTAGTTTTAACAATATATTTTGACAAACACTATGTACACATTAATATATATTAATGTGTATAATACACTAATATTATTTACAGTATATATATCCTATATATATAGAAATGATAAATAGGGGCGGGTGTAAAAAGTTTTGTTTTTAATTTATTTATTTTTTTAAATACTCATCAGATGGAATGAAAATAACCCACAGAGGCCTAGAATGGCATATATCTTACATCAAAAACAACTTTAGACTAATTTGTATTTGCATCTGGCAAAAAATAAAGATAAATTCACTCACATTTTTTTTAAATTTGTAAAGAAAAAAGCTAAAAAACCCCCCTTTTTAAAGTTTTTTTTTTGTTTTGTTTTTCCGCCCTTATTTTTTTCAGTGAGTTAAGGGCGGGTGGAGGAGGGCAAACAGACATTTTTGGCCTTATGTCAAAGGCGCAGTGAACAACAATTTAATATATACAATATATATATATATATATATATATCTCTTATACGGTAGCTAGGTCTAGATATAAATAGGTACATACACAACTCAGTGGTTGCGAAAGTCGCTGATAAAAGATCATGAGAATTTGTTGGCCCTTCATTTTGACTACATAATATAATAATGATGTGATGATGATAAATTTTACTATATAAAAGTGTCATTTCCGGCCATCTACAGGTAGGCCTACTATTCCTCAAATCGCCTCAGCCACAACTATGGATAGTGTGGACTCACTAAATGGCCCACCACCTTCCAAAACAGATCGTCGCCCTTGCTCAAACCACCTACCACTAAATCCTACATCTGCCCAAGATAAGTGTTTAATTTTAAGATCCACTGCAGTTCAGGACAACTTGAGTAGCCGCTGTCAATAGATAAGTTAGGCAAATTAAAATGTTGTGCAACTGGAAAACCCCTAATGGATTTTTGTTACACCGAAGTCTAAGCAGCTCCCTGTCTCCCCGACATACCCGGTTAAGCAATTCCACGATCACAATTGAAACATATATTCTGTGGAATTACATGTGAAGGGTGGATTTGCTAGTAATAAGGATTAGACAGATTTTACACTGCGAGTTCTGGCATGGATGGCTTAATAGGGGTTAGATATTGGGGAATTGCAAGGAGCAGGATGGATTTTTTTAAGTTGGGTGGTTGGGGGGAATCCTGATTGTTTTCGCTAGAGCCGGCGGCGCTTAATCGAGTAAATTATTTGTTTTCGAGTAATTTTTTGTTTCAACGACAAGGCATGTAGACTGTAGAACACTTCATTTATTTTCGAAAGAAATTTTCGGCCAGTCCTCTGGCCTTCATCAGCTTTACTGAATGTCAGGATTTACAATGATATATATGTATATATAATGATTTACAATGATATATATATATATATATATATATATATATATGTGTGTGTGTGTGTGTGTGTGTGTGTGTGTGTGTGTGTAGTAGTGAAACACTTTGAGAAACAAGGTTTTAAATACATATGTATAGTGTTAAAATGAATAAACAACACAATGAAGACACAAGCATTTCTTTATAAACGTTTATTTATGATGACTAGGAACTATGATAGGCCTACCGAAATACAAGAATATGTGAGATAGGTAACACTGGAAAGAGCATGGAAAGCGCCACGCCAATATTTTTTTTTTAAGCGCCGCTCTCGAATAAGTCTTGCACAGAAGCCTGCCAAAATAAGCGCCGCGGCGCATATTCGAGCACTTACAATACATTTATTTTAAGCAAAGAAACTTGCACGCTTATCAGTTGAACAGGGTGCACGGGAAGGAACAGGGTACAAGATTCGATACAAATAAGACGAGATTGTTTGAATGAACAAGTACGGGCAGTGGCGTAGAAAAATATTTTTTATTGGGGGGGGGGGAGAGA